AGAGAGAGAGAGAGAGAGAGAGAGAGAGAAAGGGAAGGAAAATTCTGAAAGCTTGTATTTTGTAAAACTACCAAAGGTTTTATAACCGATATGAAAACTTGCATCGTAAAGATGGCGGATAAAAATATCGAGACTGAAACTCTCTACCAGTTGGTTCCGTTAACCAGTAAAGATTCTCGCCACTTTTCGAAATTCTAAACTACCAATCTTTTATCTCTCGTCGTAAATTTTCCACTCGTCAATATCTCCAAACGTTCTCTAAACTTTTTCTTGAATAATCTCAACTAATACGATTTTTCTTATTTGCAATACCGAGAATATTCGTGATAACAACATCGTATAATCCAACTGTATCCTGCCTCTGTTTCGTGCCACAAAGAAATTTTATCCAACCCCAATTCTCTTCTTCAATTCTCGTCTTCGCCACGAAGCCGAAACTAACCGTCCCTCAACCGATCCCGGCGAAAAAACACATGGGTAAACGATGAGAAACAATCGAGCAGATCCAACCTTCCCTTTCTCCGTTGAATTATGAAACAATCCCGTGCAAAAGGGAATCGTGCAACTCGACAGTTAAGGGAACCCAATATAAATTTCGATCAGGGTCGTCGACCACGTGCTCCACGTGGAAGAAGGCACGCGCGCAACGGAGCTGTAACGATCAATTTTCGAAACTCGCTCGATTTCGTAGGCCAATTTCGATTCAAACAGGTTGTCCAAGCGGGCGTCCCCTTTACCGCGACGATTTACGCGAGCAAAGACCTGCTCCCTCTCTTTTCTCCCCCTCCTCCCTCTCTCCCTTACCGGTGTGGCGTAATTAATACACCAGACCATGACAAATAGTCGTTTCCGCAATAACGGCCAACCGATAAATATAGCGGTCGCGATTAGGAGAGCTGGCAAGCACGAAAACGACGTAGACGCCGTGGTGGCGGACCCCCGTGTATTACATTGGCGTGCTCGTGACAATCGATCAAAATGGGAGACGGAGGGAGAGAGGGCCACAAAGACACGGACGGTGTTTCCTTCGTGGCTAATATCTACGCGATTTCGTATCCGTACACGTCGCCGGTTGGATCGTTCGTGCCACCTGGATTCTCGTCTGGACGGGAAGCCGGTTGTTATCTCAATTTTCCATTTCGCTCGTGCAACTCTTGCTCTTCCCCCTTCCCAACGATTAATTACAACGAAGCGACGATTTCCGTTTCCACCAACACAGAATTTTCCTTCCCTCCTATTTCGCCCATAATCCCGCGCCAATTTTTCTATTTGATCGGTCGATTAGCCGCGCGGCAAGTCGCGAAACTGCTGCCGCTGAAAGCGGTAATCAACGATTCCACGGTGGTCAGCAGTTTCGCCAGAGAAGATAAAAATCTTCTTCGTCCCGAAACGGGGAATCGGGGCGACGGAGATGGTTGTAGAAGTTTGCAAGATCGATCCGAAGTGTGTGCGGTTAGGTGACAACGTGCAGCGAGGGATGATCGCGCCGAGGAGAGGAGAGGAATCGAGTATAGAAAGGAAGCAGGAAATTTATGGCAACCGATCATGGCAAATGATCATGATCATTTCATCGGGAGATGGTCGCGCGACGGCTATAATTCCGTCTGCTTGATTCATTTCGCCCGTAGACAATCGTTAGGATTAAGGGTCGTTTGGCGCCCCTTGCGCTCGTCGTCGATATCATTCCGCTTCATTCGAATACCGATCCGTTATTTCGAAACCTTCTCTTTGGAAACCGGTATCAAAGCCTCGGTACGAAACCTCTTCACAGCCATCGGTTTTTCAACCAGCGTTTTTCGTTCATCCAAGCGCTTTGATTTTTTCCCCTATCATATGTTCTCTCGTTTTCTTTTTCATCTCTCTCTCTCTCTTTTTCTTTTTCTTTTTTTTTTTTTTTTTTAAAGAGGGTGATAGACTGTTTGATCAAAGATCGGGCAAAAGTGTATAATGGAAAAGTCACAGTCGATATCCAACTGTTTCTAGATTAGCACGAAAGGGTGGGAAAGTTAATCAAGGAGTTGTTTTTTTCCTCGTCGAAAACCTCGGTTCGGATACCCATTTCGCGGATGAAAATCGACATCTGATATCGAATGCAAGTTTTTTTAAATAAAGTATCGGGAAATAAAGTATGTACGTGGAAGAGGAACGAAACGAGTGGTCATTCTAAGTTTCGAAAGCGTCGATATGTTTGATGAAATCCCAATCTTGATGGTATTATATCGATGCTTCAATAAAGTCGTAGTTGGTCGTCTATTTCGAACCGCTTTTTCCTTTTTTTTTCCCCCGCCGTAAACGCTATCCTATCGCACCTGTGCTCGACCATGAATTTTTCACCAATTCGAATATCGCGGCTACGTTTTTTTTCTCCTCTATCTTTCTCTCTCTCTCTCGTTTAAACGGAGATTGAAAGCATTTTCAGACACGCTTTTGGGATAATTTGCGCTTTCCAAAGTTAATCGGATTCACGGCCCCTATTCACTCTGTTTTTTTTTTTGTTCAATCTCGTTGACATATCTACTATCTCTTTCCCATTGATTTATTTTTAATCGAACGTCAAATTGAATTACGGCGATGGCAAGTCGAATAAAAAGTCGAGAGTCGTTCGAAAATTGAGGCTGGCAAAAACTCACTTGAACCGCGGGACGAGTGTTCACGATCGCTGCAAGTAGTTACTTTCATTACTACATCTCCCTTCCACCTCCCTTCTTCGAGTTATTCTCGATCAATATTTACCCATGTTCAGTCGCGAAATTTCAAAGGTAAAGAAGCTCCCTCGAAATGGTTCCCGATTTGTTGATCTTGCGTTCCTGGATGGATGACCGGAAATCGGCCCTTGTTCCCCTGTTTATTGCAAAACCCACTGAGTTTCCTGCCTCGAGAGCGGCTCTATAGCATCTCCCCTTCTCCCCCTGGCGAGAACGCGTTCGCCTGAAATTCAAAAAGACAGTATCAGATTTTAACCAGGTCGTGATCGAACCTCGATTCGTCCTATATTCGAAATATCGAATGCGAATGCGAGCAAACACTCTAGCTTCCACGCTAGAAAATCACGATACCGTCCGTATATTTCCGCCAACTTATTTCACGATCAGCGTGTTTTCGACTTTACGTCTTCATTTCCATTCCGGAGGACGGAACGGGGGAGTCAACAATCGAAGGAGACAGGCGCGAGTTGATCGATCGATAGTCGGACGCGTTTTATATATATATATTCGCGAATAACTTGAGGGGATACTCTTTGCAATTTTTTCTTTTTTGCAAAAAGAAATCCATTCCCTACGCGCGGAGAATTACAAAACAATTTCAATTCGTGGCGGAACGGAATAAGATGATACGATAAAGTTTGTGGCTATCGATCGATGAATCCATTTTTGTCACCTCTTTGCACCGATATCGATCTATCGTAAATTCCTTCTCCGTTCCAAGGATTAAAGCTGCACGATCGATTCAGTTCCACGGACAAACCGCTATATATCGTTCCTTATCCCTGATCTGTCACTGTCTTCATCCCCCTTCTCGAACCCTAAATCCCCCTTGGAGCCACGCTAATGTACTCGAAACGAGAAAGAAAGAATAGGAAGAATAGGAAGAAGAAGAAGAAGAGGAGAGGAGAAACGAATCCGACACGGTCGAACACGCGCCTACCTCGAGCCGAAACTTGATTTGTGATTTGTTGACCCGGCAGACAGGCCAAACAACGGTGTCATGATGGATCGGCGTGAAAAAGGGAGCCTTATCGGTCGGTCAGATCGATTACGCCTAGTACAAGGATCTGCTCTACCTGTTCCTCCCTCTCATTCCCTTTTTCCGCTTCGCTTTCCGCCGCATAAATTGAACAACCGCGCGAATTCCTGCCGGTTCCGCGGTTATTTATGAAGAGAGGGAGAGAGAAAGAGGGGAGAGCGCACTCGTAAATATGATTAATTTTCGTTCCTCGTTCGAAAAACCAGCTGCACCACGGGAGATAATCAGCTAACGGATATACACCTCGTTTCTGCGCGAAATATGTTGGACGCAATTGAATGCTCGTCACGAACGGCCGTTATCGACGGCTTCTCTTCCATTCCCCTCGAATTTCATTCCATTTTCTTCTCTCCAACGGACGGACGAACGAACGAACGAACGAACGAATTCAACGCGGCACCCGATGTAATTACGTTGTGTGTTTTTAATTTTGTTTTCGGATAATTTAACGTGGGAAAAAATTTCAACGATCGTGGACAGTGGAGGTGGAAAGAGGAAGGGAGAAAGAGAGAAAGAGAAAAAGAGAGAGAGAAAGTTTTTAAAATTTTTGTGGGAATTTTTGTAATATCGTTGCAGATTTTTCTGCTTTTTTCTCCTCCCTCCCTCCCTCCTTCCTTCCTTTTTTTCCCCGTTCATTTTCGTTCATACGTTGTTTTCTCAAATTAACCGGTTTTTGATACAAGCACGTTTCGTTAAAACGTCCAACGACTCGACTAGAGGAAACTACTATTGACCAGTTCGAATTTCCAGTTTTCCAAATGAAATTGGACATGGGAAAGTTTCACTTCGAAACTGGACGGAATTGAAAACTTGAAAATTGCCTATATTTTCGACGTCCTCCGTGTCCACTATTTTTCCTCTGGACAAACCGCCAATACATATACATATATTTATACGATTGGAATAAAATGCCATTGGAAACGAATATCTTTGAATTTTTCATCAATGGAGTCACCTGCCTTCTATCGTTTATTCACTGTCACCGCCACGAATTAAACGCCACGAAATATGTTCGAAGGAATGTTCAATAAATAATTCCCTTTTCGATTTATCGTATTAACTTCGTAGAGACTTTCCATGAATCATATCCCATATATATATATATACAATCATACGTACATGGACTTTTCCAAAATCGTATTCTTTCTAGAAAAATATCAATTTTCTTACGATACGAAAAAAAAAAAAAAAAAAAAGAAAGAGAAACGTAGAATGACGATCGACGCGAAAATCTGGATTGATACAATTCCATTTCACGGTAGAGTGATAACAGAAGCATAGCTGCGCGATTGGTTAGCAAGATATTCGAGGGTCGACCGTTTCCCGTGCGTTATTTCCGCAATTTCGTTCCGAGGTGGGGTAATACGGCCACAGGTTGACGTCACGCCGGCTTAAACGGCTTTGAAGCGGCCAATCGAGCGCAATTTTCAAAATTTTCCACCGCGTATCGAAAAAGTTACCGAATCTCGTTCAA